CTGCCCGTATTTGGACCCTCACTTGTACCATGACTTGGCACAGAGGCACTGATGCCCCCCCCCGCTGCTTTTTTATATTTTTTTGGCCCTAATTGAATCATCACTTTTTCAATCATCGTGGAGGGGGCTGCCGCCCCCCCCAACCCCCCCGCTATTTTTTAGACTTTTTGCCCCTGATTGAATCATCACTTTTTCGATCATGATGGGGGGGGCTGCCGCTCGCCCCAACCCCCCCGCGCCTTTAATTGAATCATCACTTTTTCAATCATCATGGAAAACCCCCCAACCCCCCCGCTATTTTTGGACGATCATCATGCGACCGTTACTTCTTAGATTCTTTGCCCCTAATTGTTCGATCATCATGGGGGGGCTGCCGCCCCCCTTCAAGGGGGGACCGCCCCCCCAACCCCCCTGCGCCTTTAATTGAATCCTCACTTTGACCATGAGATGCGGGAAGCCAATTTGCTGGTGATGCTGGCATGTTGGCTGGACATGCGGGGGATGTTGAAAACGATGCTGATGATGTTGACGTAAAATACGTACATTTCGCGAGAAAATGCTGTAAATTACAGCATTTTAGTAGCCAGGACGGAAAACAAAAAATCCCAAAATAAAACAAAACAAATCCCAAATTAAATCTCGACCCGGTGACTTATTGCCCAGATTGTTCAAAGCCATGCATGGGGGTTCTCACTTCTAACGATGCAAATAAGGAAGGGACAGTGATGCTCCAGATTGACGGCTGGGTGCGCTTTTGCATGGTAGGGTGCTTGGGGGCATGAGTCTGGGGTGCTGGCGCAGGTCCTGTTTCGGGTGCTGTTGGAGGTGCTGTGACGGGCGGGCGCATTTTAGGGAGATTGACTTCCGTGTGCTCTTGGCAAGTGCTGATTGGGTGCTGGCGCGGGTGTTTTTTCCCCCAGATAGCTGAAAGCTATAGGGGTTCTGACTGCCAGGGTTGTGCAGTTTCTCCCTATTTTTTAAAAAAAAACAGTCCCCCCCGCCCCCTTACGTGTCAAAGAAAACGTGGAACCTTCTTGTCTCAACACACTCTGGAGGGGGGACCCCTAATAAGCATATTTTGGGAGCTTGGTGGAAAGCATCTCAGAAGTTTAGTGTTGGCTTAGTATTGGCCAATTTAAATGTAGTATTGCCGATTTTTTGCCTCGGCTTGGGGGAGCTTTATGATTAGGGGTAGGTTGATTAATAGGAAGAAGGGGTGCTGTTGGAGGTGATGGCGCCGGCGCACTTTTGGCAGGGCATGCAGTTTGTGTTGGCGCAGGTGGGGCCTGGTGACGGCCAGGTGTGTTTTTGCGAGATTGATAGGTGCTAGGGGGCACGCAGTTTCGGGATTCTTGTGCAGGTGCTGTTGCTGTCAGAGGTGCTGGCTGTTGGCATGCTGTTTGCTATCTGGGGTCTATGCTGGTGTTTTTTTTTTTGGGGGGGGCTGGTGACGGGTGCAGGCGCGTTTTTGCGAGAGGGAATTCGTGTGCAGGTGCTGTTTTGGGATTCAGCTTGGGGTGTTGGTTGAGGGCTCTTTGGGCGGTGCTGTTGGAGGTGCTGGGGTTCAATCGTGTTTCGCTTTCTGGGGCCTATGCTGGTGCAATTGTTAACTTATGCAGTTGTTCTATCTTTTTTTGTTTAATTGATTTATTTATTTACCTGCGAAATCTGCCCCAAACGCCCCCCTCCTCGAACGCCAGCCCGGAGCTGACCTCATCCCGCCGAAGGACCCCGCAATTCCAGCCCTCCAAGCCGAAACCAAACAAAACTAGTAGGAGAAAGGCCTGGCCGCCTGGTCCCATGTCCGTCCACCGGTGTCTCGGGGGTTCTGCGGGGTTTTCATCCAGGGACTTTTGTGCAAATGTGGACTGAGAGAGAGATGTGTGTTGTTCTTGTTGTGTTTTTTTGTTTTTCTTCCGGGGGGGGGGGGGAGGGAGGATGTTATGTATTTTTGTTGATGCTTATCTCTAAGTGCATATATCCGTTTATAGATTTATGTAATGTCTACATATGTGCACATTCACTTATACTAGGCGGTATTCATTTGCGTTTGCCTTCCCCAGCTTGGGAAGATGTGGGATTACATGCCAAGCAGGAAGGATCACTCCTAGTGGGCATCCCCAACGTTAGCAACATCCCACGTGTGTGTGTGTGTGTGCGGAGTGACAGAATGCCCTGTCACCACCCTTTCGGTTTCGCAGCAGGGGGATCAGGCTTCCAGTGACTGACCTGATCCAACGAAGCTAGGTCACTGGAAGGGAAGTAGCTGAGGACGCTCAGCTACGTACCTGCTTCCCAACAAGGTCCCCTCTTTGCCCGCGGAAATCAAGCAGAAACTCACCGTACTCGAGACTCATCAGTTGTACTCGAGACTCATCAGTTGTACTCGAAAGATTAGCACTCTCCATCTGGAGTTTAAGTGTGTACACCCCATTCGTGGGGAATCCTCGGGTGTACCCATTGTGTGACCCCGGGCCGGCTCTGTCGGAAAATTTGACCTCAACGCGCGTATCATAGAACAGCGGAATTTCACATTTAAGCAGGAACGAGGTTTCACTGAAGGGAAGAAAGCCGTCAGTTCATAGCGACGTCTCACCACAGTTGATAGCTGCCGATTTTCATTGCCTACCCTGACCATTGGTTGAACTTGTTGCTCGTATCACTGCGGTTGTCGATTGCTGACTTGTATTTGCTTTGCCTTGTACATTTCGCTCGACCATTGCAGTTGAGGGCCGCTAACTTGCATTTGCATTGATTTGAATGTTGTCGGGTCTGATTCTCTCAAGGTGGAAGTGTGCAAATTCCGATTCAGTTGCGTCACCATGTCTCGACGTGATGATCGTGATAGATCCAGGACTCGACGCAGACGTGATCGGAGTCCGTCCCCTCAAGCTCACAAAGCACGCCGACGTGAGCACAATGACAACCAGGTCTCGGAGAACATGGATTGGAACAACTTGGTTTCATGGCAACACAACTCCGGCTACAATGCTGCTAACAACTTTCCGATGGTGCCTATCAATTTTCAATCGACTCACAACCCCACACAGCAATTCCAACACCCGGCGATCAACTACATGATGCCGATCCCTCCTGATCCCACGCCATCCAAGTTCATGCCACCAATGATGCCACCACCGGTCACTACTTCCCAACCTACACCTTCACCTGGACCTCCTGCAGCTCTACCGGTTCGTCCTCAGAAAGCCTGGCTTACTCCCTCGCCTGACTGGACACCTGGAGACGGCATGTTTGATGTCAATCAACTCTACAACTTCAGCCTGCCCATGACTGTTGCCAACACTCCACATGGCAACCTTCGCGACATGTCAGGCATGGATATTAGGGACGTACGCCTGGTTCAGGTTATCCACGGGGGCCTCACCAACTGGCTACTCAGGCCGTTTGCACACGGCCGATTCGTGACGTGGGAAGGCTTTCGCACCCGCACTGAGGCCTTACTTTGGAGTACCTGCTCCAAATTACTACGAAGATCGCAGTCACTCAACCTGCTCACCCTGGAAAAGGACCTTGCCAACACGCTGGGTCTCAACATTGATGACTTCAATCAGCGCATCAAGGTCCACGACCATTTGGCCAACCTGGTACTTCAATTTCTTCAACAACATCACACCTCTCTCGCACCTGCCGCCCAGACCGATGACATGGTCAAGAAGTTCAATGATTTGAATCGTGCACATGAACTTCTCCAAGCTCAGTATTCCGCATCACTTCGCGCATCGACCTCGCCCACGATGACAAACCAGAAAGATGATGCAGAGTTGGTTACACCGCCACCGGTCAACCACACACCATCCTCGTCACCTGCCAGCTCCCTTCCCACAGCCAGCGCGGCCGCCCTGGATGGCAAGTCGTTTGATAGCGTGGTGCAACCTCGGATCATGCAGTCTCTTCACGGAGTGTCGTCACCGCCGTCCAAACCGGCGGCGTCACAGTTGCTCACCATGCACAGCACGCCGGATGAAGTTGTCAAGTACTACACATGGACCAGTGACCAACCTCGCCTTTTCCTCAAGCAAGCGCCCACAACAACCACTTTGGCATCGCTGGTTAAGTGGGCCAAT